GATATTCTTGTGAATGTTCTCCATTTAATACCTTATCGAATCAGACTGTTTGAATTTGTTCTATGATGCAGAAAGTTCTCTCTATTTTATAATTTCAGAAGAGAGGACATCTCTTCATCTCTTTTAGGTTCCTTTTGTTAATCATGAAGACTTTCATTTTCTTTAAGGCCACACTCAGGAACTCTATTACTTAGCATAAAAAGTATAAAACAGGCCCAAGACTTCATTTTTATTTGCAGAAATAGCATAAGGCATGAATAAGCTTTTACTCATTAATACTGAAAGAAGAGGCATTCAGCATAAATCTTCCACATTCTGATTTTGCAAATGAGGGATGTGTTTTTGTCATGAAAATGGCAAGATTGGCACAAACACATATAAAAAGAATCAACCAATGTTTCTTTTGAGGACATTCCAGGTCTAGAATCTGGGGAGTGGGAAGCCATGGCTCTCAGGGCCTAGCAGCAATTTTCTCTGCCTTTCTAAGCCCCTACAATGCTGTGGCTCTTCCCCCTACCCCATAGTTAACCTGTACACAGAGTTGAATTTGGCAGCCCACACAGCTGTACACCTTTTCTGGAATCTTGTCTTCCAGAGTCTGCTGACATGGGGTGAGTTAGGTAGAAAGTTGACTATTAAATATTGAAAGTTGATAATTAAATATCCAGTAAATGACAATGTCCTCAAAAATTTGAGGGTAAAATTTAGAGAGTGAATGAAGTCTAAGTAATCCGGAGATTAATCCCTGAACTTTTAAAAGCAGATTAATATTTACTTAAAATATCTGCAAATGTCTTACAGATATTTTCTTCTAAGAGATCTCCTTAAAGTGCAACTTTTTATCATTTGGATTTCTTCAGAACATGTGAATATATTATTAACTGTTTACAAGTTTAATTTTCACTGTTATGTGTAATATATTCTAAAATTAATAGAAGGGAAATAATTTTATGCATTTGTGATAACTTTAATATTTACTTTACAGAAGATTGCTTTTATCTCTAAGAAAATTCTAAATGCTAAGGAGTAGTTTCATTCCATGTAAAGCACCAATAGATCTCAATGCTGCAGGTTTCTGATTTTTGGCGTCAACAGGTTCGCTAATCATCAGCAGTCTTGCTTTCTTCACCAGTAAAATTAGGATTATGAGATCTTACTATAGGATAATGTGTAACAAAGTCAGGTATTCAAGTAAGCACTTATTGTCATGTCTTGTGCTTAGCTAGCTCTTAATGAATATTAATTGTCATTAATAAATGCCTACTTTAATTATGGATTATTAAGCTCCATTCTCTCCCTTTTTGTGGTTTTTCTTAGTTTCCGTTCTGTGTAATTGCATTGTTTTTCCCATGAATTCTATCTTATGGTATGCTCTAGTATCCTTTTAGTTTTTTTCTTGATGATCAATGTCTAGTCTAAAGCATGTAGATGGGCTCCAAAAGCAAATTTATATTCTTTGTTGAGGTACCTACCCTGATGCAGTAATTCATTGGTGTTGGTGTTAAGTAATAAAAAGGATTTTGCTCAATAGTAGGGTAAAAATGTCAAATTGTGTCCAAATAACTAACACTGTCAAAGGTCAAAATTTTTATAGGAATACACAAAAATTAACCATATAAAAAGTAAAATTCATAATCTTTTTGCCCAGTCAAAAATCAGTAGAATTAAGAAAGAAGAAAATAAAACCCATAAAGGGGAAATCAATCAGTTGAAAATCAGAATGAGAGAAATGATACAGTTCATTATGAAATCATTCAAACTATTTCTATCACTATATTCCATATGTTCAAGAAGTTAAGAGGAGTGAGCATGTTTTTTTTTCCTTTTTTCCATAATTTTATTGAGAAACAAATAGCAATGAGACAGTTTCAAACCAAATTGGTAGGACAGTTTCAATAATTAACACATTGCATACATTCTTCCTAGTGGTTGTTTGCTGTACAAGATGCAGACATGATAACCTATTTACAAACACTATTACAACAAATCCCTCTATTCATTAAGAGAATGTAACTATATATCTATCCTGACCATTTTGAATACACAGATACAAAATGGACATTCATCTGTATCCCCTTTTTTGTTCAGTTCCGTCATTTGAATATTATAGGTGTGTTAACTCAGCAAAATATTCTAAAAGATTCCAGTAGTCCATAATAGTATTGGGTCTTCTGCTTGACTGGCAGTGTCAGAAATTGTTGACCTGAGTCCCCTACAGCTCAACAAAACAGCATGGCTTTACTTCTTCTATTTCATTTTTATACTTTTCTGGTGGATGGTTAAGACCAATATAAAGCAAGACCTATGCAACAAGAGTTGTAGCTTTTGGGTCTGATAAGGTCAGTGAAATCCCCCCAGGACTTATCCTGAGATCCTGTACCTCAGATTGTACATCCTTTGTCAGTGTCAGCCATGTGGATGAGTCACAGCCATTGCTTTCCCAATGTGCTCTCTGTGAAAGACTGAGAGAATGTTTTCTCTCCGTGTGACTCTCCCTAGGCACAGTCTACATCATCGATCACTTTCCTCTTTGGCCCCATAATCTCCTTGATCAGAAAATTTGGGACTACCGAGTTACATGACATTACAGTACAAGTTCTCATATGTCCTGAGTCTTAATTGACCCTGGAAGGCTAGTAACCTAAGTTTGCAGACCAAAATTAGAGAAAAAGGAGGGCCTCAAGGAAAGCCAACATTTTGGCCCTAGCCTTCCAAGGTCAATTAAAACTCAGGACATATGAGCATATTTTATAAAGACAGGAACAAGAATGTAAAGTACTCAAATTGAGTTTACAGACATTAAAACTAAATTATCTGAAATTCAAAAAATACCTCATCTGAGAGGTAGATTAGTCATTTTAGAAACAATAAATGGTAAACTTGAAGATGCAGCCATATACAGTCAAAATGAAATACAAAAAAGATGCAAATAAAATAGATTTTAAAAATGTGAAATAATTTGTAAGTCACTGCATAAAAAGAGGTAGGGTACAGGAAATACATTTTTAAAAATATTGTTCATAAGGCAAGCCAAATAGCTCAGCAGATTAAAGCACCTGAAAGCAGGGGCCGAGGCTGGGGGCTCAATCCCCAGGCCTGCCATGCCAGCCCCATCCTCGGGGCACACTGAGATGGTGATTGAGACTGGGCGTAGTGGCACACACCTGTAATCCCGGCACTTTGGAGGCTGTAAACAGGAGAATCACTGACTCCAATCTAATAGTGAGACCCTGAATACCCTGTAAAACCTTCCCTAAAATACAGGGGGAAAAATACATATGTAAAGTTTGTTCTTTCTATGTTCGATGAAACTGTAAACACAAATCCAAAGCAATCACCAAATTCCTAATTTTAAGCATGTGAAACACACACACACACACACACACACACACACACCCCACACACACACCACAAAGCACATTACACTAAAATTTAAAGCCATGGTAAGAAAAAATTTTAAAACAATCAGGGAAAAATAATGCATCACACACAGGAACACAGATAAGTTTGATAATGAGTGCTTCAACAGGAACCATGCGTATGGAACACTACCTTTATGTTATTCAAAGAAATGTTATTGCATGCAAGTGAAACATTATTGCTTCAACCCTAAACTCTTTTAACAAAATAAAAGCATCATTTCACAAATGAAAATGATTTTTCATATGCACCAGAGCTCGGGAAATTTGTCACCACTTGCCCTGAACTACAATAAATACGTTAAAGAAGTCCTTTAGCTACAAAGATAATGATACTATACAGAAACTCCATCTAAACAAAGGATCGTAGAGTTATAAAACTACTACATACACGGATAAGTATAAGGGCACTTTTTAGTATAATTTCAAAGATATTTGACACTTTAGGGAAACAATAACTATATGTAAAATATGAAATCCATAGTACTTGGCCAGAAAAGATGAAATACATGTACAGTCTTCAAAGGTCTTCATACCAAAGTAACATGTCATTTGAATAGAGATTATGGTCATGTTAAAGATGTATATTTTAAACCTTAAGCAATCCTTCTTTCTCAATGGAAAATATAATAGACTTTTTAAAAAATAACTTTTTGGGACACAATTTTGGAGAATGTTTTAGAATTTAAATTGCATGAATATCTTGGTCTAATTCTTGATCTTTCAGAAATTGATTCGATAGAGACTCAATATGACCACCTTTTAATACAGCAATTCATTTTTGAGGCACTCGGCCATGAGAAGAAATGAGACAAATAAACATATGGCGAAACATTCCCATTACAGCATATTTGTAAAAAAAGAAAAACAAACCAAGTTGTAAATAAACTTAATATTTTCAAAATTATTTAAATAAATTCTGATTTAGTCATTCATGGGGGGGTTGTTATCCAGACGTTAAAGTTATGATATATAAGTGTATTTTGATTTAGTTTAATAAGTAAAAATGATTCCACAATATATTGTAAAATAAAGACAATTTAAATTATATGTACAAAAGTAATCCTTTCTCTGTTAAAAACATAAACAATGTTTCACAGGTATGCTCAGTAAAATAACTACAAGTATTTATAGATAGTTGCTCGTAGTGATTGTATCTGGCTAGTGGAATTTCTAAGTTCGTTACGGTTTCAAGGAACCTGCATTAATTTTATAGTGATTTTTAAACGAATTTAGTCATTCATATTTGGATAAAATACTTCTTAAGATTATGCTCCTTCTCTAAGTGATGTATTTTAATATCTTCTACATCTTCCATCAGAAATTTCTCATAATGATGAATGTATTTCAGATTGGTAAGTGAAGAAAGATTTTTTTAAAAATCATTTGTTTTTATTTTCCACATATTACAGAATATATTTAAGCATTAAAGTAGTTTTAAATTTACCTTCCAACTAGGTATTATTGTGAAATTCTGACTTTGTTATAAAGCTTAACTTGCAAATTGGATTTTATTTTGCATATACTACTTTGGCCCTTTTTAGGTAAATTTATTAAACTGATTTTAATGGCATTACATTTAGTGTGACTGGATGCTGTCTCTGAATAAGAGGTCAGGCTCCATACCATCAACACATGATCATATCGTCCTCCTGCTAGGTCATTCTTGTCTTGTGAAGATCTTGCTTTTCTATCAATCATCTCTAATACCAGCATTACCACAGAGTCTGATCACACTCCCTCTAGATGACAGGTTCTCTCTTAGCACGAATCAACCCAAACAGTCTGACGGGATCATCATGAATGTTTTCCTCCATTGCCTGGCTTTCTGCTGAGAAATTCTCTACTGGATTGGTTTTAGCTGTGTTGAACTCCATGGCATACAGCAGCTCGTCTCTCTCCTTGTCTGACGGATGAGTATTCTGTTTCCTTGGTTTTCTGCGCTTCCCCTTGAAGCTATGGTCAAGTGAGGCATAACACATCTGCCCTTCAGTTATAACCTGAAAAGAAATTTTTATTAATTTTTCACTGTTACCCTGTTCTATAACTTTTGTGACTTCTAGAAATTTCTTTCTTTTCTTTTTTTTTTTTTTTTTTTTTTTTTCTTTCTTTTTTTTTTTTTTTTTTTTTTTTTTTTTTTTTTTTTTTTTTTTTTTTTTTTTTGCTCTAAATGCCCTAAGGGGTGGTTTGGCTGGCTGGTGTGTTGTGGGGATTGAACTACAGCAACCTGAGGCTGACAGCTTTGTGGAAGCAGCCACTTAAACAACTGAGCTAAGGCCAGGCCCCCTAGAAATTTCTACGGCTTATGAAAATTAAATTTTCTGCTTTTAGCTACCTTGTTTTACAAATTTTTTCAGTAGGATAATGAGATGAAAATCATAATTAACTTAAGTCCAAGGCACCTTGTAACCCCAGGACTCAATGCACAATCTTCAGCCTTCAGAGGCTGTGGCAGTGATTGTCTAAGGGCCCCCAAGGCGTGTTCAGGATAGTTCAGAAATGTTCAGACTGGTACAGACACTGGCGTAATTTGTGTCATGCTGGTTTTTCAGACACATAGAAGGAAGGGGTGATGGGTCATGGATGCAGTGCTGGGAAGCCTCTAGGAAAGTGGAAAAACCAGGAATGTGAAGGATCTACTGAAGAATGCCACAGGCAATGAGCAAAGTGACCCAAGGCAGGGGTCACGAGGTTTGCAACCAGCAACACCATAGGAGTGGGGTTTCCAAGGCTTTTTGAACACATAGTTCACCGCAGATCTCCCTTGGTATTAGACATGAAACTACATAATTCCATGTCTGTCCCATTGCGTTATAGTTTTGCTCTTGTTCCATTACATTCTATCCCCTTTTCTCCTTTTTGGAAGGAGAATGTTTACTCTGTGCCATTGTATGTGGTTAGCATTTAACTTTCTATTGGATTTTTATAGGAGATCACAGCTAAGAAAAGGCCTTGAGTCTCAGAGAAAACCTTGGACTTTTGCAATGCTCTGACTGTTAAGACTAGCAATCATAGAGATGGAATAAAAACATTTTTGTATAAAAAGATAAATATGGGGCCTGAGGAGGGCAGGGTTGGAAGGCTGTAGTTTAGATTTTAAAAAAAAAAGTCCACCAAAATCCTCAGTTGTCCTGAAATGGGGCTATTGGAAGGTGACTGGATAATGGGATATTATGTTCACCAGTAGATTGATCCACCAATAAATCCAGACCAGAATGAACTGTTATAGGGAGGCAAGTTGGAAGAAACAGGTTACTGGGCGTGTGATCTGAAAGAATGTGCCTCCTGCCTGACTCCTGCTGTCCCACTTGGCTCCTGGGTGAAGCAAGAGGAACAGCTTTCCTCCAGCCACCTCTCCTCAAAGCCCTTCCTGCCTTGGCACCAGCCCTCCTTGGACCAAGCTCTCTAAATCTATGAGAAAAAATAAACAACTTCTCCTTTGACTTACGTGTATTGGGTGTCACTGGTGAAAAACATGACAGGGATAATTGGACATACTTTTCATCCCAGCACTTTGGGAGGCTAAGGCAAGAAGATCATAAATTTGAGTCCAACCTGAGCAATTTAGTGATTTAATGAAACCCAGTCTCAAAATTAAAAGATAAAAAGGTCTCAGGGTATATCTCAGTGAGAAAGCCCTGGGTTGAATCTCCTCAGCTGCATGATAGATAGATAGATAGATAGATAGATAGATAGATAGATAGATAGATGACAGATAGATGATAGACAGATTATAGATGATAAAGAGATAGATGATAGATAGATGATATAGAGATAGATAGATAGATAGATAGATAGATAGATAGATAGATAATATTGAAGATCACCACCAGTCTCCCCTCATCTCTAACTTTACTTCAGGTGTTTTTTTTTTTTTTTTTTACCATACATTTTTCTTACCAAGTAAAAATTCCTTAAGTCATTTAAGTTGGAACAAACATGGTAGGAAGAAATTTAACAAGTCACAAGATCTACTCTGCACACTCTTATTAATCATTTACTAGTATCCACCAAAGTTTTCATTTTTCTCTCTACATTTTTATGTATAAAGTACATGAAGATAATTATATCCCCTTATCTGACTTGCACCTGGAAAATAATTATTGTAATTCTTTCTTGTATATCTGTGGCTGTGTCGTTTTGAAGAGATAGGATATTGACATTTAGTCTAGGGCTGGCTTTGAACTCTCTGTGTCACCCAGGCTGCCTCAAACTCATGGTCCTCCTGCTTCAGACTCCTGAGTGCTGGGATTACAGGTATGTCATGCACGGATCCTCTTTGAGCTCATGTTTAGATTTACCATGGAGGTATCTATCTATCCACAAGAAGGTGTGCTTGCCTCATCTAGCCTACAGATAGGTCAATACTAGCACAGGAGACTAATGTAACTTGGGGAGAGAAATAGGCTAAAGCCAAGACCTTAAATTCAGTGTTCCAAAGCCTAGGGTTGAATTCAAGCTCTAGTAAACACTGCTCAGGGGACACTGGACAACTTTAAAAAATTGTTGAGCTTCAGTTTTTTTATCATTGAAATTAAAGTAGTAATATCTATTTCAGAGTATTATGTTTAACAAATAAAAATAATGTATATTTAATCTGTTAACTGCTATTTAAAACTAACATAATGTGGTTATTACAAGTTGAGGTGGAAATTTAAACACAGCCATTCAATAAACCAAATAGTTCTATATTCAGGATTTACCTTTTATTATTTTAAAGAGGAAAAAAAAGAAAAAAAAAAAAACAGGCCAAAGTTGTAACAACTTTTGTGGCTTGGTAGTGAGGAACTAATATTTGTATTAACAAAACCCTTAAGTCTATAGATAAGAGCTCATTTTCTTCATAAGATTAGAATGTCATATTTTCTATTATGCAGAAAAGATGGTTCCTTAGTCCGATTTTCAACTCTTAAAATAACCATATGTTAACATTGTAATCACTGCTGAAATAACATCCTTTTCCTTGTTTCTTCCCTCTGTGGTTTGTTCCAGTGTCCTCAAATTCCCTTTATAAGGTACAACTTCATATTTCATCTTCTTGTCCTTAGTTCATCAACTAAAGTCTAAATTTCATAGCCTGAGTTTCAAGGTTTTCCATTTTTATTACTATGCCTTTCCTGCATAAGCTGTATGCTCCTGGCAAATGGGGCAATTCCATTTCCTGTGCACGCCCTGTGCTGTCATTTGCTTGGCCTCTTCCCAAGCAGATAAAGCAAAACAAAACAAAACAAAATGTTACAAACTTGAAAGTCGCTGAGTAACACAAAAGATTTCTTTTCTTTCTTTCTTTTTTAAAATTTCGTCCAGGCTTCATTCTACCACTCTTCCTTGATCAATTCTCCCCTTTGGTGAAGTCTTCGCTACCTGGTTCTGGAGAGACTGGCAATTGCTATTGCTGTACCTAACACCGGACAAAAAACTAAGCACGTGACATATGCTGGCCCAATCATCAGCCACCTCCCAACCCACTGCAGATAGCAAGCGGTTCGGGAATGGGCACGCAGCTTCACCAAAGCCAATTAGATGGCAGTTTTAAGACACACAAAAAAAATACAATGCATATATTTTTTCAAGGACATAGTATCTTTTTCTTCGAGTTGAGAAGAAAAGCAATGAGGGGCTTCCTAAATCAATCACTCAGTTGCACTGGTAGAGCCTGCAGTCTGCTAGTACTAAGAGAATAAAGGTGGTAACTTCAGGAAAAATGGTGAGCACCTCCATATTCAGTCGTCTCCAACCAAAATATACCCTAGCTATCCCTCTCATTCAGTTACAGGGGACAATATTTTCCCTTATTCCAAATGAACTTAAATTTGATTTCTGCACTTATTACAGAGTATTCAAAAAATCACGTGTCTGGTCAACACTTCATCAGGTTTATCAGATATGGAAGGGTTGAAAGACTAGGCCCCGAGGAGGACCGTAAATTAAACTCTGAGTTCACTGGAGACTTCTGCAGGGCTGTTGTGGTTAAAGCAGGGAAGGGACGCATAGAACCAGGAGAAAGCAGGTGAGAGTACGGAAAGGAATGGACGCAACAGAGGACAGGAAGAGCCAGGTTAGAAATTAGAAGGAGAGAGGGTTGGCCAAATAGCTCAGCGGAGTAAAGCACCTGCAAGCAGGCGAAGGGGCCAGCCATGCTGGCCCTGCCCCCAAGGCACGCTGAGATGCCAACTGACACTGGGTGTGGTGACACATGCCTGTAATCCTAGCTCTTGGGAGGATGTAAACAGGCGGCTCGCTACGTGTCCGATCTAGTAGTGAGGCCTTGAACACCCTATAGACCCTACCCTTAAAAAAAAGAAAAGAAATTAGAGGGAGAAGCGGGTTAAAGTTAAGGGTTTTGTTTTTCTGTTTTGCTTTTAAATATTAAAATTTGTGATTTACTTAATGAAAAAAAAAGAGAAAATAAACATGTGCCTATATTGCTGGGTCAGATTTTCATGCCTCTATCTTGTAATGTGAGCAACTGCTTTGAAGATACCAATATGCAATGACTAGCCACAGTTACTCTCCTATCATCTTATTTTGAAATTTAACTATTGTGTTTATTGTTTATGTTCCTTTTAAAATTAAAAATAAATAAATAATTGGAAGCACAAGAACCTGAAAACATTAGGAGAAATGACTAAAAACACAGGTAAGTGTTTGACTTTGAAAAGGAGAGAGGCTATCTCTGCAACAGGAAGAGATTGATTAGAGATTTCGATATAAAGGTAAAAGGAGCAAGGTCAGAGCTGAGTCCTTGAATTCTGTACTATGTGAGTTCTCCTGTGGACTCATTTCATTTCCAGGTTTCCTGCTTAACTTTTCCTCATTGAGAGTAGACTGAAATTACAATCTCTGAGCCGCACATATCATTTTCAAAGGGCAAAGAGATTACTTACGTTTTTTTCTTAACACTTTCACCTTTCAGCTTTGTGTCTAGCATTGTAGATTCCATATGCTTTGGTGAAGGACCCGAGTTACAAAGTATTATAGTAGCAAACTAAGTAGATCATGATTATTCTAATAAAATTGAATTGATCACACATAAAGAGATTATTTCTAATACATAAAATTAAATTTATAAGAAGAATGTAATAGGATAATGCTAATTTTCTGAATGGTACCTTATCTTTAACTATATAATTTATAAAAGAGCATGCTTAAAGACATTATGAGGCTTTGCATAATTTCCACTTGAACAAAAACCAAATGCAGCTTAAACAAAGCTGCCCTGTAAAATTCATGTGTACTGAGTAGAAATTTCTATTCAGGATTTTCATTACTTTTGATATTAAAGTGATGTGAATCTCTGTATCTTATGTTTCTTTTAAAATTAAAGAAGTGTGGCTATATGTTAACCATTTTTGAGAACTTTCCTTTACTATCATGGGTTTAGTAGTGTATCATGTAGTTTTTCATCTAAAATATATTTTACCAATAATTGAATAGCAGATGACATATTTGGTGAGTTTATATTTTTCTCAAACTGCTTAATGTCTTTATTTCTTAAAAATTTCAAGAAATCTGATTTCTTAGGGAACTCAAATAAAGAAAAAGAAAAAATTACCTTACTGGGACAATTCCAAGGTGTGGCCCATTTCAGATGAAAGAATGCTTTCTGTTAGAACTCAGTTGGGATGCTTTCTCCTTACTTAGCACTTGAGTAGTAGAGACAATATTTTCATCCTTCCTTCCATATCTAAAATGGGAATAATAATGCTGCCTGCCTCATGGAAATCTAAGGAGATAATTCATATAAAGCACACAACGTGAGGCCTGGTACCAAACAATTGCCTGCAAAGCACTGTCCCTATTACTATTTCTTGTTAGCAAGGAGGATATAATTAATAATTAAATAGATAACAGTTAAAGAGACAAAGCCTGGGAGAGGGGAAAAATTTTCCACATTAATTTATGGAATTTCAGGAGCACATGACCAAGCATTTTGAGTGGAATTTAATGAAACAGCATTATGGTTGATTAGCCTGATGTGAGTACGGCAGGAAAAGGAGAAAGTTTTCATTCTTGGGTTTTCATATTTCTGCATAAACGTTTGCCCGGCCTGTCCCCACTAAAAGTGTGTGTGAATTTCACAATTTTATGTCATATGAGCACAGTCATGGAACTTAGGTTAAAATTTACATACTTTTGTCTTTTATAATAGAGTTATGATGTTTTATATTCAGCTGTTATAACCAAAGTCTCTCTCTCTCTCTCTCTCTCTCTCTCTCTCTCTCTCTCTCTCTCTCTATTTCTGTGTGTGTCTCTGTCTCTGTCTCTCTATCTCTGTCTCTCTGTCTCTGTCTGTCTCTCTCTCTCTGTGTTTCTGTATGTGTCTCTGTCTCTGTCTCTGTCTCTCTGTCTCTGTCTCTCTGTGTCTCTGTCTCTGTCTCTCTCTTTCTCTCTCTCTCTCTCTCTCTCTCTCTCTCTCTCTCTCTCTCTGTGTTTCTGTGTGTGTCTCTGTCTGTCTCTGTCTGTCTGTCTGTCTGTCTGTCTGTCTCTCTCTCTCTCTCTCTCTCTCTCTCTCTCTCTGTGTTTCCGTATGTATCTCTGTCTCTCTGTCTCTGTCTCTGTCTCTCTCTCTCTCTCTCTCTCTCTCTCTCTCTCTCTCTCTCTCTCTCTCTCCATCCCCCTCTGAGCTTGTGAGCATTATACATGTCACATTTTAAGAAAAACCTTAATTGATCATCTAGGAATAACCAAGATTTTGCCTTCAAATCTCTTGCCTTTAAATTGCACATAACTGTGACTCTGAGTGTGATTTTAGTTCTATTACTGCCCTCTGAATTTTCCTGTAGGGGTCATGTCTTTAAACTTGACATTGCATGCAGGCTACAGTATTTCTAGCATTCTACTTCAAATGTGTGTCAGAATGTCCTGATCCTGCCCTCTGGAAACATGCCGTGTACTTAGACATAGACTGAACTCGAGCTGTGGCACAGGCATCAGAACTCACCTGTGCAGAGCGTGTGACTTCTTGCACATTGTTTATAGATCTTTCTGGCTGGGCTTTCATTTGTTCATAGCAGTCTTCATCGATCAGTTCTTGAGATTTGAGAAAATTGTGATTTACAAGGGAAAAGTGAAAAACATTGGCAGGGGTAAAAAAAACAAAAGCCAAACCTGATCCAAATAACATGTAGCTATAAATAAGGACCCGCTACAACCATGTCTTTTTGGTAGAGATAGTGATGAGTTTACAGAGGAATGAACTGTTACCTTCAGATCTGATATATAGTCTTTTGCTCTACAGGATTAATAAGCCAAAAAGAAGTTCTTAGGATAAAGACTACAGTATATTAAGTTTTTTACATTGTTGCAGGATATAAGTCTCATTTTAAATTTCATTTAGAGTCCCTGAATTACATGATGTTCTTTTTTTTTTTTTTTTTTTGGTGGAACCAGGGATTGAACTCAGACCCTTGCACTTGCCAGGGAAGCACTTACTCTACTGAGCCATCTTCCTGGCCCCGATGTTTATGTTCTTCACTATTTAGCTACCATCGCAAACAGTGCATGGTGGCATAAAGCACAATGCTAATATTAGAGGGGTAACAATTTTGTGATTTCTCTGGCTAAGACATTTTACTTTGAAGCATTTAAAACTCAACATTCTAAACTTCAAAATTAAGGTTTAAATTATGACTTTTGTCTCATCAGTCAGTGACAGAATAGACCACCTCAGCTATCTCAAGGTGGTCTATAAATCGCTGTAAATTGCTAGTCATAGCATGTGGGGCATTTGCTACATCTCAAAGCCAGTAGGCCTGCACCATTTCACCCAGCGGAGACACATTTACTGAATCATCTGTTCATTTTCTCCCAGATATGTCCTTAGACAAGCTCAGTTAGGATGGCTAGTAAGCTGGCAGAAATATGGATTGTAACAATTTGACCTCAAAGAGAAAAAAATGTATTATAATAACCAAAGAAGTCGAAATAATATTTTAACCATTTCTGCAAAACAACATCTTTTCTGAAAAGAGACATTCTCCATAGAGGGTGTCTCTCAAATCATGCTCTATAAAAACTCTATATCAAAATTACCTGTTAAGTGTTATAAGTAGCAGGTTCCTCAACTCAGTCTAGGACTAGCAACACAATATCATTTCATACTTTGTTAAGCAGAAAATTCTTAACCGCCATATAGGACATACTAACAAAGTCAATTGCCTGTTTCTTTGCTTAGTAGAAGACTCTTAAATCTCAGTATTTGCACAAGTGAAACCCAGGTGCATTTAACATGAAAATGACAGATGGAGCACACTGTAAGCTGTCATACTACATAATATGGGCCTCAAGTGTTACAGGTGAGCACCACCATTCTGCAAAGCGAAAAGGAAGGGCAAAAAGAATTTCAATAATATAATGCTGAAAAATAGATGCAGAGATTAGAGGAAAGTTTAAAATGGAAGGAAAGACAAAATTAAATAAATTATTGTAACCTATAAAATTACCATACGTACAACTTTAGGAGGATTCTATACTGTTTGACACATAGATATCCATATAAAATTAGTACATTACAGGAAATGTCTTTGAGACATAGAACACAGACAAGAAGACTCCTGTTTCTCTGTTCATGAATTATGTGAAGGTTTTGTGGGGATTTAGAGTAGTAGCTTCCCTCGTTAGCTCTGAGGTCAGTCCAAGTCCTATTTTGCAGAATTTAGGTTGCTTTGTTGTTTAGGTGGTTGGGATGGTTCAAAGAATATTTAATGGTAGAAATTGAACAGTGTTTGCTACATAAGAACAAAAAAGTTTATGAACTACTCATTGATGATTTAGCTCTCCTCCCTCTTGCCATCAGTTCAGGTGCAGGTTTCCAGATTAAAAGAGCCAATTAGAAGCAGGAAATAAGAGAAAGTGCTCATTGTTTGTGATTATTCACTGTAGATGTACTTGTTTTGTGCCTCAGTTTCTGGTCTAGAATTTTTTTTATGAACCTCCATGTGTGTCAGAATTTACGTTCAAAAAGTCTTCCTGTAGTCTCATTACTACTTGAGTAAAATGAAGATAATACAGAAAAGCAGGGTGTTTGTTTAACTGGACATCATAATACAATTTATAGTATATATCTTGGAAGCCAGTCTTAAACAATATACTAAATAGTCTTGAATTTATGTTTACTACTACATATTTCTATATGATTGTTTTTAAAATAACTACCTTAAATGGAATTACTTAGTTTATTGATAAATTTAACTCATGGAAAACCAAAACTTACCTGGGATTATATTATCTAAATTACCATAAATTGGTGTATCTTCAATGTCACATTCATCATCCCTATAACAAAAAAAAAAAAATCATTTCCCTGATTAGAGTCAGCTTTACACATAGTCTATAAACCAATATTTAGCTAAATTCAGGATTGAGATCAAACCATTGCACATTCTTATGCAGTCACAACCAACCAAGGTAAATGTGTCCCTGTGCGAGAAAGTCAGCAAATTAATGCATATGTGTGTGTGGGTGTGTACATACCTGTGTAGGGGACTCTTGCAGGTCCTCATGTCGGTCCAAGAAGCCAATATTTATAATCCCAAAGCTACGTTATTGGAATCCCATCAAGTTGAAACCAATCTACCACTTACAATGCAACCCACAGAGAAAATAAAGACACTAGATTATATTTTCAATTATCAGGGAGTCAAGGGGCTCTAAGTCCAGCCACGAAGATCTCTTTCTGGAGCCCAGAGAGCGACCCAGTGCCTCATCTGGTTTTTATTCAGCGGGAGAGTGATTTGAGGAGGATTGACTGAGAATTATGGGAAGTAGGTGATCATTGTGAGCTGAGCTAGGTGGGTGGCCTAAATTTACCTCTGCCATATGCATAGAGGATATGCCGAGAGCACACTCTATATTATATAATATCTAATGTTTTGGGAAGTCTGATGCTTCAGCTTTGATGTAGTCTTTCAAGCCCCAGGAAGTCATAGCCTTTGTCTGAGGCTCAATCCCAGCTGGCGGTGCAGAGCATTAGCTCTACCGTCCTGTCTTGACCCAGCTCACATTAAAGAGCAGCAGGTATAGGTTACCAGGGAAACATGCATGCCACCTTCAAAGACTATCACCAGCACCTCAGCTAGACTAATACACATTGCTTAAGGCCAACTGAAGGATAAACAGAAGTCCTAGCCAGCTCTGTACACAACAATAGGAGGAAATAGGTCAGGCTCAGTCAAAATGGAGACAGTTGCTCTTCTTTCAAAGAGAGCTGCTCAGGTGGTCCTCCACATACGTGTATATATGCATGTGTGTGTGGCTATGCATATACGCGTGTAGGCATGCATGTGTGTAAATTTAAATAGTTGGGTGTGGGATCTTCTTTCAGGGAAAAAATAACAGTAAATGATTATTCAGCACCAATTGTATATCAGATTTTACTTGCAATGTGTTTAATGAGATATTTTTCATTTCATTGTCTCAAAAATTTCCATGGAGTGACACTGTACCATCCCCATGTTACAAGTACCTAATTTGAGATTCACACAAGTAATATAATAAAAGAAAGTGATACCAGTTATAATTAAAATAGATTGTCTATGCTCTTGACATCACAACTTTATTCCCTTTTTCTAAACCCACAATATCATTCTAAACGGGCCCTTAAAATTGCATTCACTAAGTACATATTGCTGACTCAAGTTGACAGATGCATTAAAATAATTGATCACCCATTCTATTCAGATGCTGGATTAGGTACTTTATATATATTACATTGAAGCCTAAGAAAAAATCTGCAAAAATATTTTTATTATATTTATAATATTTACATAGATGGTGCCTGAGATTCAGACAGATTATCTTCCTTAGTCCTGTGTAATATCAGCAATAACTACCAGTTAGGAAAATTCTCCTGCACACCAATGCTCATTTCATGCCATGCTCCTAACCCCAGGTAGAATGTTATGAGATGCAAATATTTATCCCTATTATATATAAGGAATTTGTAACTCGCAGAGATTAGTTAGATTTTGCAAAGATACACAACCAGTAATCAACTCTGCTGGGATTGAAAGGCAAGTATGATCATACAAGCCTTGCTCTATCCACATCATCCAGAAGTTATGCAGAAGGTGGTATAACTTAAACTACTAAAGAGCAGTTGGAGATTATACAAAGACTGCTGTTTTATGGCTTTCTAGTTAAAAGAACTGACAAGAATAAATGACTGTTGTCTCCTGCTGTTGGCTAAATTTCCTCCTTGCCTTACTTGAATAACGCTATTATTAGAGTAGATATCCAACTACTGTCATCAGAATATCTTCCTCGCAGTGTCACCCTACCACTGACAATGATCCCGGCAACCAGATTTGCCAATGGCAGGTCTGGGGACAGGTGTTGAGTGTGGCATTTCATAAAACAGTGTCAACTACTTTTACTTTGAGATTGTGCTGCTGAGAGCTGGAGGGAATTGTATTAAAAGATAAAAAACTATTATCTAAAATCATAACACCTATATTACTTCTAATTCTTCTGAAAGAAGATAGAACATATGTAAACAATAGGTGTATTCCTTAAAAACTAACAGTTCAAATGATGCCTGCATAAAATGATTTTGAATGTCCAGATGCTAGCAGCTAACATGTGTTTTGCTTATCTGATAACAATGGAACTCATCTGCAACCTTTGTTTCCATCCCTTAATTTAATACAGCTTAATATTGGACTATGTAGTGGTGTTTGTTCATGGCTTTTCTCTGGTTGTGCAGAGAATATTATACCAAAGGTGAAGAATTTTAATAAGACAACCCATCCATTTTCCTAGCCCACATAGCAGATAAAACCAGCAGATGATAAATCATGTCTAAAAAATGAATATCATTTCATTCTCTATGAATGAAAATAAGATGTGATTTATAATACAGTGCCCTGTGTCTGCAGGCAGGTCTCAAATGATTAATCTCTCAAATAAACTATTATTCGGGAGCAGTTGCCTAACGAGCAAATTAAAAAATGCATTTTTCCTTAGCAGTGCCAAATAGCTCTAGTTTATTAGATACATATAATAAACTTTAGCAACAAACATTTGGCAGTGTTTTATGTAAAAGACTACTGTAATTATTTTTTAAAATAAATTTATAAATAATCCCCTAGCTAAGAAGCTGAAATCTCTTCAGTCTGGGCCTGACCAGACTCCCCATCATGATGAGCATAACTGGAAAAGTCCTCTCTCCAATGAGAACATTTGTTCACACGCCCAAATATAAAAATACATTAACTGTCTTGTATTATGACCCAAAGTGTGTGCTTTATTTTGATTTTCTCTAGTTCCTCTTTTTAATTGTATTTTTTGTTGTAAAATCTTCTCTTCAAATTCTTCATTATCTGTGTGGATTTAAATACCTCAGTTCAATTTAAAAATCATTATTTCTTCTTGGATACCTTTAGACTTCAATTTTTTTAATTTTCAGTTGTTTTATTCTTAAAGCAAGAATAAGAACATTAAACTTGATCTCCATTATTCTTTTCATTTCTAAAATTATTTGGTATAAATATTAGGTTCTAACATTTAAATAAAAATGACATTTCTAGAAAATCAAATATAGTTGGTTTAAGGAGGAAGAAAGTTGGCAGATGGGGGGAGAAACAAGCCTAGGAGTCTATCAGAAATTGGTTTTGACAAATGTTAACTTGATTTGCTCAACAGACATCTCTTTAAATAGACACAGATACATTTGGCCTTTATCAATGCACAAATGTTATTTACATTTGTGAAAGACTACAAGCTGTGAAAGACTATGAAATTGATTATGGGCTAAGTCTAAGTAGAGAAAAATTTAGAGGAGCCCTGGACACTAGAGGGGCCCTGGACACTGTGCTATTGAAGGTTCAGGAGCCAGAAAAAAGAAAAGCAAGGACAAAAGAAAAAGGGAGTTGGTGGTGGCTTAGCACATGGAGGAGAAAGCATCTCAAATAGACAGTGTCAGAGCATTCAGCACTACAGGTGGACCCAGAGAGGTAGAAGTAAGATTGGACCTGTGGAAATAATTGGTGACTCTGACAGGAGCTGAGTCAGTGAGGCAGAGAGGACTGAAGAAGACCGAAAGGTTTCAGGACGGACCAGGAGAGGAGATGGAGCATTTCCTGTCATGATTACTTGTGTATGAAACAATCAGGACGCTGGAAAGATTAGAGGACCTTTGGGGTGAGGTAGCACCTCACTGCCCTCACTCAGGAGTCCTACATCAGTAAAGGACACCCAGGAGATCTATTGACCTAAGGACTTTCAGTCTCGAGAACAGTAGGTCAAGAGGACAGTTGGGATTAGTCATGTATATGGCAGTTAAATATATGGCCCTATTGATTTTTCTTCAGATCTGCCTCCTCACAGATCTAGACATCCAGGAGATCACCGGACAGTAGAAGACGAGGTGAGCGGAGACCTTGTGGGATGTGTACCAAGCTTTCTGTGAAGGACTGAAATCTGAGGAGCCAAGGCAGTTTAAAGTAACTGCAAGTCAGAGCTGCCTTCCTAAATGAGGACGAACAAGCAGTATGCAGGCAGGAATTTTCTTAAATCTTAATTTCCATCCAGTTGACACAGTGATTTTTTTCTCCCTCAACTAATGTCTGTGAACAAAATGTATTATTGCTGGTATTTTTAGATGTTAAAAATGTCACTCATGTTCTATCTTTTTTTTTTGACACAAATATATCATTACAAAAATTTGATTAAAATTCTAAAGCATCTGGATCCCAACTCCCTGGTGATATCACTACATTAGCTTGCTTACATAAATAAAAGAACAAGAATTGTGTAGAATTTACATTAGGTGAAAAATAAATTGAACCAAGCATCTACACTGCAAAATGCATGTCTGGCTATTTGTTAGATTTAGATGTTATGCTATCCTTGAATAGACTGTAGTTCTGATGTATGAGTACAAGAAGGGTAGGGGTGTGGAGAAGCAAACAGAGACCACAGAAGAATTTCTCTCCCCCAGCATAGTTTTCACCTAAACAGATGTTATCGTGTAGAGCACGATGGGACCTCAGTGTGGAGGAAGGGCCTTCCTTCTCCCTCACTGGCACTCCTTTCAAAACTGAAGAGTCACCTGTAACTCTGGGTCCACCTCGAAAAGTTAGACTTATTTCTACTTGCTTTGCTTTAAAGATTTAAATTTAATAACTGAAAATAGTTTCATGCTTGTTCCTGGAGACTGCATGTCCCTGTGCAAAAGCGATTTTGAATGACAAACTACATAAACAAAAGAAATGCACAAGTTAAGAAGTATATAAAAAATTTGTAAATATGACTTCTTGTAAATAACACCTATATTTTATCTTCAAATATTGCCTAACTAGAGATCTATTACAATAGACAATTAATGAGCTATTCTTCATACAGTGGGAGTTCACCTTTAGAACTGGCAGCACATTAGTTTATTTTACAATTGTCTAGTACAGTGGTGGGGAAGGTGGGGGTGAGTGAAAATTTATTGAATAAATGTTGTAAAAGAGTCACCTTCTTTTCCACATTTCCCCCACAGCTATATTTTGCTTATATTAAGATCAATATTTTTTCAATTTTCCCTTCCAAATTTTCCCATCCTAACCCCTAAACCATTAATTTTGTCCTTAACTAAGTGATCAAGTCATAAGACTTTCTATCACATTTCATTTAAAAAAATTTTTTTATATATATTTGGTACAGGGTCTGACTATGCAGGTTGGACTCACAGTGGTCCTCCTGTTTTCAGCCTCCCCAGCTCTGGGATTACAGACATGTGTCACCATGCCTGGAGGCAGTGGCTGCTTCAGCATGCGCTATGGCAGAGCTGGTGTAGCATGCGGCACTGGGGTTTGAACCCTAGTTCCCGAGCTTCCCTAAGCAGGCGCTTAGTCCACTGAGCTATCTCACCAGCTCTGCATTTCATCTTAATTGTCCTTGAAAGAACAAGTATCAAATCAATCATCAAAGAAATTAATGACTACTTTGTGTTTATAGGCCTGTATTTGTCTTCTTTACTGTAGCAAACAAAAAAATGAAAAGCAAATCATTCTTGATATGAACTGATGATTTGAAAATTACTTCATGATAAAGTATCCCCTGTTAATAATGATCCTAAAAATAAAAATGTTGTGTGTGCCAAACTGTGGCCCAGACCTGAAGTCTGCCAAAGGCTTTTGAACATGGAGAACATTTTTTAAAATGACATTTTAGGGCCAGGCATGGTAGCACACGCCTGTACTCCCAGAACTCAGCAGGGTGAAACAGGAGAATCATTGTGAGTTTGAGGCCAGCTTGGGCAACATAGTGAGTTTAAGGCTAGTCTGAACTATTTAGCAATAATATCTCTCAAAATAAATAAAGTAATTAATTAATAAAAGTACCATTTAGAGCACAAAAAGGCATAATTTTTCCATATCGTTAGAAAGCTTTGAATTTTGCAAAGATTGCTCTATCTACCATCTCAAAAGACCTTGAAGGACACTCTAGAAAATTCTCCTTATCTGGATTGTTTTTGACTCCTGAAATGAAATCCCAATGTAATGACACATTAGGTTACAATATACTATCTAAACAATGAAATTTCTTTGCTATGATTTATTCCATAAATATTCTTTTTCAATGTATTGTACTACAACCCTGCAATTACATTTATAAAGAGAACCAGTACTAAAAACTAAATCTATAACTAAATATCATTTTAGAGTATAGACTCACTGCGTCACCCTAGTTATTGGCATTGCCCATACAAACAACATGGCACTAAGCATATCTGCATATATGTGTACAGATGCCAATATGTGGATGTGTGTATACGTAGCTTGAGTTTTACAAGTATTGTCCGATTTCTCCTTACTCTAGATTGTGAAGTGCATCATATTTTACAGAAATTTGAGCTGTATTCTTAGAATTTTACCTGAGTCATAATCCAGGATATCTGCTTATGAAATTCTGTAGATACCAAGTTTAGTCTCATTTCCTTCTCTGAGCTCTCTGATTTGCTGAAAAAGTGTTAACAAGTAGGACAGACGATAATCCTATACATTCCAATCTTCAAATAAGTACAAAAAAAATCAAAACTCCTCTTTCTTTTATTATAACTCAAGTACAATAATCCTGAGCTTAATATACAAATAATACAGCATTTCTTAGTTTCTTTTATTAGTTGAAGTCATACTGTGTGCCTCGATTTCAACATACCTGGGAATGTAGTCATCAGAGTATCTGTGCATTTTATCTGAAAAATATGCAAAAGATACAAATTTTTAAGAGCTTCTATATTTTTGTTAGATCTGCTAAAGTGTTACAAGGTGGGCTTAGCAGCTTCTCAAGCTATCACTGATTGCCTGTCTGTTGCTATGGTTCGAACTTGATTTGAGGTTACCCCAAGAGTCCACGAGTTGAGGACTTGGTCCCAGGATCACAGCACTGGGAGTGCAATGGAACCGGTAAGAGGGGTACTTGCGCAGGGGGCAGGGGTTTAATCCTCAGGCCTGCGGTGCCAACCCTACCCCCCGGGCGTGCTGAGATGGCAATTGAGACTGGGTGTGGTGGCGCATGCTTGTAATCCCATCTCTTGGGAGGCTGTAAAGGGGTGGATCACTATGAGTCTGATCTAGCAGTGAGACCCTGAACACCCTGTAGACCTTTTGTATTTTAGAACACCCTGTAGTCCCAAAATACAAAAAAAAAAAAAAAAAAAAAAAAGGAAAGGAAAGGAAAGAAAAAAGACAGACCAGTATTAGCGAAACCTGTGACAATGACCCAGAGATAATATTCACTTGTCTTTCAACTTTAACATATGAAAACTACAGTTTTGATAAAGAACTAACAGTAACATTTAAAAATAATTAAGTAAGTCATCAAACAACTATGAAGATTATTTTCAGTTAAATTTTTGTGTGACAATATCAAACTATTCTCGAGAGTATTTTAATTGCTAAAACCACATATACAAAGTGGTGGATCCCAAAGTGATGAATACATACAAGATCTTGTCAGGAATGCACTTGTTCCAGCACAGAAGAAATGTACTATCATGAACTGCATATGAAAGGTGCAGCTATTCTGAACCACTTTCAAGTCAGCCCTGTGAATATGCATGTACATACAGGCTGGGGAAAGCCCAGAGGGGTCGAGAAGGTGCTTCACAGTAGACCCAAGTTAAGGGAGTTCTGGAAAATCAGAAAAACTGATGAGTGTAAATCATAGAAGCATATGAAAAATTAGTTAACATACATCAGAAAATTATGAACCAGAAAATGAATGATGTAAAGTACATTTTGACTTCTTTCTGTTCAGGAGAAGATGTTTATGCGCAGGCCACCATTACTCAGATCTGCTTGGAATTAAAATGCATGCTCAAGAAGTCAGTCAAAAGGCTGCCTGGTTGGGCATCAGAGAACACTGGACTGGCTTTCAGCTTCACAGTGCACTGGCTCTGTGATGACATGGAAATTATTTCCAGCCTTGATTAGCAGTTTGTTTACAAAGTAGGAATAATAATCCCATATCATGAAGCATATGTGAAAATCAAATGAGATAATTTCTGCAAAAACAATTATAAAATGACAAAGTTATTTCTTGATAGTATAGATTCTGGGTCTGAACTGTGTAACAAGCTATGATTTAGTATACCTTTTACTATACTTTAGTTGCTCATTTTATTTGGGCGGCTTCCTTTTTAAATGAAAACAAGGTGGTATTATTAAGAAGGCATTTTTTAAAAATGCATTTGGTACAGGGTCTCACTGTGTAGCTGGGACTCATAGTGATTCCCCTGTGTCAGCTTCCCCAGCACTGGGATTACAGACATGTGTCACCATGTCGGGTTTTGGTGGCTGGCACAGCTACATGCGGTACCAGGGATCAAACCCAGGTTCTTGCACTTGCCAAGCAGGTGCTTAGACTGCTGAGCTATCTCCCCAGCTCATCTTGTTCAATAAAAATGATAGATGTGGAATAAAAATTTTCCCTTTTTATAATAGAATATGAACTTTTTAAGTGGAAGTGTTTGCTCTGTAAACATCAGTACCTGGAAAGTATAGCTGTGTGTGTAAAAGAATAAACAACAAAGACACAAAAGAAGAAAAGTAAGATCAAAAAGCTTTGTAGGAAAAACAGTTCAGAACACTGGTATAATGGCTACAATATTACAATGCATATTATTTAGATGGGAGAAGAGGGGACTAAAAATGTGGGAAGGAAGAAATTGAGTAATAGACATTATATACCAAGACCAACTGTACTGACAAAACACCTGGCAAGGGGACTTAGAAACTTCAAAGGCACCATATTTAGAAAGTTCATGTGTAATTGGAGCTGTACCATCAGTGGTTGGGTAATTTGAGTTTCTTAGATCATCTCAGGTTAGCAGCTTCTAGTTACTGCCATTGAGGAGCAGTAATAAAAAGTTCATCAGTTAGAGTTAAGAATGAAGATCAGCAAGCTCCGGCTCCTGAAAAGAGCTTGCTCTGCCACAAGTGCTCCTCATTTTATTTAAAAATAGGGCCGGGGAGATGGCTCAGTGGAGTAAGCGCTTCCCTGGCAAGTGCAAGGGTATGAGTTCAATCCCCAGTTTCTCAAAAATAAATAAATAAATAAATAAATAAATAAATAAATAAATAAATCATCATTTAAATGATTCCTAGATATTTCAAGCATATTTAAACAGTAGCAAAATTAAAAAGTGTGTGTTTTGCTATAAAGCACCTGTGTGCACGACTGCTTAGGAGAACAGCTAAATGCATTTTCATAATCCTCTCCTGTGATTCAGATGCAAAACTTGTGGTCGGGTACGTACACAGCTCGGAGGGTGTGATACAAATGCCTTTGCTTTGATGCTTTCCCGTTTTGAGTGTTCACTTCTCTGTGCACAATACGCTATGACAAGAAAACAGAAACCCAGCACATTGTTTAAATTCTGTAGAGGAATCTTTCTGATTTATTTGCAATGTGAAATATGAAAAATGTGCCACAATTTTGTACTGAATAGGAGATACACTGATAGGACTCTGATGTATGCACAAGTCATACTTTTGTTTATCCTTTTCAAGGCAGAGAGGATGAGTTAGATAAATAACACTCTTTGGATTTCAAGAAAAAGAAAAGCTAATGCATTCCTCTGAGAAAAGAAGCATATAATCCTCCTAAGGAACAGATTTGGACAAAAATCACATAAAAATGAAAGATTTATTTTGAGAAGAAGACAGGCTTCATTTTAAACCTTCTACTTGGAAACTTCAGAAAACATCAACAAAAAGGCTTATCTTGTCTATCTGATTGAATGTGTAGATACCGTTGCTGGGATGGAGATTTTCTTTTGTAAGTTGTTTAATACACCAGCACGACTTACTCAAGATGTTGGCCAACGTGGAGTCAGACCTTGCAACTTTCTTAGCCACAAAGAGTAGCACAAAGCTGCAGACATAAAAGGTTAGGTGAGGCCAGATGCAGGAGCACTGCTCCCACAGACTGCACAAAAGAGAGGCTGCCACATATGACAGAATCTTCTCTGGTCTCTCTCCAGGATGGGCTAGGAGAGGGGACTCTTCAGAAGATGGGGCTGCTGGCACAGGGAATCCAAATCCATCCAGAATCTCTGGATAAGAAAGAAAGTGCCAGTACTTGTATGAAATAGCAAGGATGGCAGAATGCTACTCATTTTTGAGAAGGCTGTCTGGAGAAGATAGGCAAGTGGGCCATTGCTGCAGAGAGAAAGGGTGGGATGCGAATAAAGGGCACTGAGGACTACTGCCCTACAGCAAATCTTAGGTTGACACACCAATGAAGTGTAAGGGCCAGGATGGTGCATGCCAACCAAGGCGTGTACTTCACTGCTCGAATGAAATGCTTTGTGGTTGGTTGACAGTAAGAACTAACTTCACAGGAGCTTACACAGAGCTCAGTGAAATGGGCCTGAATAGGACTTACACAAACACAGCAGCTACTGAGAAAGCCAGGGCATTGTAAGATTTGTTAAATAATACTGAGATGAGGGCAAGAAGCAGAACAGGAGCTGTAGTGGACATAGGCATGGTGAGAGCGAAGCAGCAGAGAGACCAGAATAACTAAGATGCAGTGAGACAACCAAGGTCAAAGTGTGGTGGAATAGCACAGCCATGTAAGACCCCTGAGGTCTGTGGAAGGAAGGTGTGGGTACCGGGGCCACCAGTTATGGGCTGTGTGGGTCCTACCAAGTCCCCAGAACTGTGCTCAGAGCATATGATATGGATATAAATAAATGAATAAATAAACCACAATTTGCAAAGCTACCCAAAATAAGAATTGTAGAACCTGTTCACATTGTGAAGTAAAAGATTAGTATAACCACAAACTTCTGGGAAAGAAGGAATGGGGCAGTAGAATTTAACTGTCTAGATCTTTATCATATTAATAAAAGGTAGTTTCTAAAATTCTTATTTGCCATAATTCAATGCAAATGTATGGTCAAGAATGATTAAGAGGGGCTGGAGAGATGGCTCAGTGGTCTAAAGCACCTACTTGAAACAAGCTTGGCAAAGCACAGGGACCGCGGTTCAATCCTCCAGCACCACATGCCAGCCAGCCCCGCCCCCTGGTGGGCTGAGCTGGCCACACACACACACACACACAATAAATAAATGTAATAAATAAAAATAAATAAATATTTAAAAAAAAAGAATGATTAAGAAATGAGCCAAATTTTGCAGATAGAATTTTCTTTGGACTACTGGGCTCTAATTAAATATATCACTCCATTTGTTACTTGACTCTACAGAAGAAAGAATTACCACAGAATTCAAATGAAAAAGGAAGTAGCAACTCAGATGGTTCTTTTTATCTTGCTTTTCACTTTAATTATTTCATTTCTCTAGCTCTAAATTTACCTTTTTTAGTAGACATACTATCATCTGAAAATGATAACAATCTTTTAAAATATATTATGGGGAAATAAAATACAGCCAGTTTAAAATATCATATTAGATAGAGTGCTACTCTTAGCTCATTTTTTCTATAAAAGGAGAAAATTTTATAAGAGGCATCTGATGATGGGTCATTTATATATTTGTTTTTTGCAAATATGTTGTACTTCATTTTAAAACAATTACCGATAGCAATACCTGCCTGGAATCTCACCTCAGTCATCGAACTGATAGAGATTCTAAAAGAATGCCGGCTTTCTGGCTGAGAACACTCGTCAGGGTGTACAAGAACGCGCTTTGGTACAAACCGCTCTGGTCAGAGAATAGGAAACGTGGGCCCGTTACCCCTGACTTTGCTGCTGTTGACGGAAATGTAACCTCAGCTGGGTCACTTCATTGTACCTCTCACTCTTCTATTTATCAATTTGCATGGCAACAATTCCTTTCTCACCATATTTTCTATTGGCATCATAAACACTTATGAAGCTTCTGTTTTGAGGATCAAGGACTATCGCTGCAATCTGACCATTTTTCTAAACTTCATGCAATTTTTCTTGGACACATATTTAACTTAGTTTTTTTTTTGTAACTTGGGTTTATTTCATCTTTAAAATAAAATACCTTTAACCCTTTCTTTTCTATTACCTTACAACTGCTTACATATCCTGTTCCAATGAGTTTCTTGACTAGAATATGAAGACACTGTGCAGAAGTAATTATGTTTAGCTGGGCAAGGGTAGCACAGGTCTCTAATCCTGACTATTTAGGAAGGCTGAAGTAAGAGGAGCTCAAATTTAAGGACAGCTTGGACAACTTAGCAAAAGCTTATCTCAAAATATAATTTTTAAAAGGGCTGTAGATACAGCTCAGTGGTAGAGTGCTTGTCTAGAATATGTGAGGTCCTGTTCCACTGCCAGTACAGCAAAAAAGAAAGAATTGATCATCCATCCACACATCCATCTGTCCATGTACTCAGCTTGTGTATATTGAATGCCTCAGTATATGAAAGTGGCTCCAGTTGTTGAGTTTGAGGCTAGTTTCATTGTGCCTTGTGCAGGTAAAAGCCACCTGGCTAAAAGTGGTGCGCAGCACATTGACAGTGAGGCAGCTGCGGGGCAGAGCCTTGGCCTGGCCTCCTAGACTCTAGAATGTTGAGAACAGACCCGAGGGTCAGTGTGCTGTTTTACAAGTCCTGTCTGAGCCCACTCCAGCCTGAGGCCCTGTGTAGGGCCTGATTGGACTTGAGAAGACCAAGAAGGCTTGAAGGTTTGCAATCGTCTTCACTATTCTCATTGTGTGCCAGAAGGCTGGCTATCCTTTCCAGCTGGCTACCATTCATAGGTAGTTCTGTCAGAGGAGGACCACATTTACTAAGATAATCCCTTCTACCCCTATACCTAAGGCAGAGACAAAACTAACTTTGGTGATGTTTTTCACACATTGCTTATGATCATATTCTTAAATGAAGAGAACCTTTAGGGTGCAAAAAATAAAACTTAAAAAATAATAAAATAAAAACTAGATTTTGACAGAGAAAATATCTTACTAGATGATATTCATAAAGTTGTTTACTTCTCTCGATTTTCCAGTAACTTACAAACTTCATCCAATTAGGTTCCATGTAGTTATTTGTCATAATGTCTTACCTTGTCGCTGCTTTTCTACACAGTGGGAAATATTGAAGATCAGCGATATAATTAGAGCCAAACCCAGCACGGCTAGAAGGCCCCACAGGAAAAAGGGGCACTCAGTGCTTCCTGGAAACAGAAAACAAATACACCAATGATGTAGTAGTTGACTGACCATTAGTTTTGGTCAGGTTAGTTCTACAATTAAAACCATTGCCTTTATTCATCATGAAAGGCAAGTCCTCTGGCAGGGCATTAATCAACACTGACAACCAAAGACATCTTACAGATTTCATAGTTGGGCTGGTGATTAAGTTCTCAAATTCATCATGGGCAAAATGAAAGAAGTTTCCTACACTTTTAGTACAGATGAAAGGGAAGATACTCCTAGTCCATTAAAAAGTGAGAACCTAGTGATGGAATAGAAAAACTATGGTTCAAAATCAAGAATATCTTAACTAGGAAGAATCATAATTTGCTCTACTTTTCCCTTTTCTTTGCCTTCAGACTAAAAATTATGTGTTTTCACTATTCACAGAAAACCACTTGCTTCTTTCAAAAATCCCAGCAGTGTAAAATGCCATGTGTTGGGATAATAATTCTGGAGTCATAATAACCTGGTTTTGTTAGCCCCACAAATGAACAGTAGAGAGTTCATTGTGCTTCTCTTTCCTCCATGAAGGCCTCTCTTGTCTTCTCATTCCTGAAACACGAAGAGAGTTTTGGGGGATGGGACTTGTCAGTTGGTCTTGCTAAGTTATAGCCACCATTACTCAGCATCCACCAAAGAACATATACACACTTAGAAAAAGAAGAAGGGTATGACGTTTTCTAAACAGAAGGTGTTATTCTCATATGGGGGACACCAGAGGATGTCGTGTAGCACAGAAAATCCACCACACCTCCGGCCCTTAGAGAAGAAATTGAAAAATGCACGTGCAGCTGACCCCACGACCAAGGTTACCCAAGCAGCAGTTTGCCATGATAGATGTCTGGAAGCTCACGGCCACCAGTTTGAGCACGTCTTGTAATCGTAGAGGCCAAAGATGCCTTGTATTCATCTCCTACTGTTTCAATACCTTTAGTATTATTTGCACACATTTTTTCTTTTCCAAAGTGTGCATACATTTTTATTGGCAGACTCCGAGTGCCAACCAAGATAATTTGCCTGATTTGATATATCTCGGGTGTCATATCCCTATCTGACCAATATGATAAACTGACTTCAGGAAAGCAATTTTTAATTTTATATCATATTTATTTATTCAACCAATATCAGTTAGACACATCTTCTGACTCAGGAAGAAGGGAACCAAAGCTAAAGGCAGAACAAAATCAAGCGAAGTAGAGTCCTCACCCTCCAGAAACTCTGTATGGGGACATAATAGTCAAATATATAATTAGAAAAGCAATGTGAAGATAGCCACAGCAGAGTTTGTATTCCTGCAGAGTCCCACCTCTCTGGGTATAAGACTGTCTACAATCAAAAAGCCTTTTAGTTCTTTTCCATGAAATTGCAATACCAGTGTATTAAACACAGTAAACAAAACATACAGTCTCTTAATGGAGTGGAGAGATCAGCTTTGCTTCTCTAGTTTGCTTTTAAAGTATCAAGTGAAAACACTAAACCAAAATACCTGTGACACTGCTCTACGTCACCTATTTTCTGTAGCTCACATTTAGCATTTCAGTGGCTTCTCCAACTTCTCATTGACACTTCGAGGCTTGTTTACCTGCTCTCAGTGGTCCTGTGTATTTCAGCTGGCCTTATTGATGTTTTTCATCTTTTATTTTTTATTTATTTTGTACAGGGTCTCGCTCGGACTAACAGTGATCCTCCTGACTCAGTCTCCACAGTGCTGGGATTATAGGCATGTGCCACTATGCCTGGTTTCAGTGACTGATCCCAGGGTTCCATGGTGACATGTCCTGTGGTACTGGGAATTGAACCTGGGTTCTTATGTTCACCAAGCAAGTGCTTAGACCACTGGGCTATCGCCCCTGCCCTGGCCAAATTGATTTTTAAATGACTGTAGACAGGCAGGTGAATCATTAAGTATAGAAAATGTGCTACGTGACTTTTACTTAGCTGTGCATACATAAATACACATAATTTGCATGTTGCTTGTTGCATACACACTACTTTAATTTGAACTAGTTTGAATCTCTTTCAATGCCAAGAAAGCATACTGTTTATTATTTCATCTTTAATTTAGTACCATGTTATTTCTAGATGTTCAAAATACATTAGTCTACTTAGCATAGTGTTGCTTATGCATCTTATTCTGCAAACCCATAGAATGTATGCTTGGTAAGTTCTTTCAAGAATTAATTAACATATAGAAAATATTAACTGATAATTGTAGTGAAATATGATGTCTGATTTTCTTTAGGGGAATTTGAGAGGCTTATATAGTCCTTTGCCCTCTAAAAATTAATTTGATTAAAAACAAATTTTACAGGGTAAAAGGTCTGGTTTATTCCTCATGAATATAACCCCACAAAATATTATGAGAGCAGTACTATGTAATAAGGAATCACTATATTAAATATACAGGAAATTCTGTGTATCACATGGTATTGCATGTATTCCTAAAATTATTTGTTTTTAGATATTTAACAGGTACTTATACAGTTTAAGTGCTAATAAATGATACATTTTTAGAATTCCAAATGTCAAAATATACATGTAACATAACATGCTACATTTCTCTACTGAAATTATACTAATTAGCCTTTTTTAAATGTACTGTATTTGGGAAAGTTTCATCATATCAGTGTGTTATTTTTAGTTGCTGCCTAGAGTTCTACAGCATTATTGCGATGTAACTCATCTAGCTGTTTGGCTAGTATGCACATGACAAATTTTAAATCATATTTTTCATTCAAGAAATAAATTAGAAGGGCTGGAGAGATAGCTCAGAGGTATCTACCTGACAAACACAAGGTCCTGAGTCTGATCCTCAGCCCCACATGCCATGCCCCAGAACTCCTGGCACATATGCCACTCTGGAACTGGGAGTGGTGGTGCACACCTATAATCCCAGCACTCCAGAGATTGAAATAGGAGGATTGTTGTGAGTTCGAGATCAGCCTGGGGGCTACAAAGTGAGCACAAGTCCATCCCAAACTGCGTAGCAAGATTCTCCCTCCC